CCTGGTAGATAAGCACAAGTCTTTGATCGTGGGCATAGTTTCATGTTCCAGCCCTCTCAAGGCACCTTTTACCCTTGGGAATTCAGTGTAAGGTGGGCCTTTTAGTTAAATCAGGACTTTGTCTCTTGCCTGTATTTCCTCTCCAGCGTTAGGTATGGACTAATGTCTTTGGGGGATTGAGGGTCTCATGAAAGTTATTGAAATTATTTTCCTCATCCAGGCCTTGCTCCTTCAAATACTTTTGTGGCCCCACAGCCTGTGGTAGTAGCCAGCCCGGCAAAATTGCAGGCAGCAGCTGCCCTGACAGAGGTCGCTAATGGGATTGAACCAGCTCCAGTGGTAAGAAGATATATTGGTAGGAGTTTAAGGAATGAGTTTACAGTTTTCCAAAGTTCACCTTGAATTGTCCATTCTTTGCTAGAAACCAGAGCCTCCCACACAGCCTCCAAAAGTGGTTGTGAAGAAGGAAAATCAATGGTTTGATGTGGGTATTGTCAAGGCAACCAACATGGTGGTGACACACTACTTCCTGCCTCCTGATGATGCACCTGCTACAGATGTGAGTGGCATGGATATACTTTAATCACATTTCCCCTTAAAGATCCAAATTTCTGCTGCCATGTATCTTCTTATCACCGATTCCCATAATATCAGTTGTGGTGTCTCATTCCCACTCTCTCCTGTCCTCTGCAGGATGACTCAGGCACCACCCCTGATTACTCTCAGTTCAAGAAGCAGGAGCTGCAGCCTGGTACTGCTTATAAGTTCCGAGTGGCAGGAATCAATGCTTGCGGACGAGGCCCTTTTAGTGAAATCTCAGCATTCAAGACCTGTCTGCCTGGTTTTCCTGGAGCACCTTGTGCCATTAAAATCAGTAAAGTGAGAGCTTTTTTGTTTTAGAGTCCTGTTAATTCAGCTCTCTGGGGTAGTTGAATGATCTTTGTTGCATTTGTTGTCTAATGCCTTACTGCAATGCCTGTTGGGTGATACCTGTCCTGGTTTTCAAGCTCTTGTTGCGTGTTTCTATTGCAGAGTCCAGACGGGGCCCACCTGACCTGGGAGCCACCTTCAGTCACCTCTGGGAAAATAACAGAATACTCGGTGTACCTGGCCATCCAGAGTCCCCAGGCGGGTGAACCTAAGAGTGCAGCTCCAGCCCAGCTGGCCTTCATGCGGGTTTACTGTGGACCCAGCCCTTCGTGCCTGGTGCAGTCAGCTAGTCTCTCCAATGCCCATATAGACTACACCACGAAGCCTGCCATTATTTTCCGCATTGCTGCCCGCAATGAGAAGGGCTATGGTCCTGCCACACAGGTTCGGTGGCTTCAAGGTGAGTGGCTGCTGTGATGGGAGTTGGAGGGAGGGATGCAGTTTCAGGCCGCATGTGTGAGTGGCAGGACAGGTTCTTTAAAGGGAACCTATCAGCAAGATGAGGAGCTGCTACCAGGTCTCAGACTCTTGTAAATATCTGCACCATTCACTTTCCCATCTTGGGCCTTTGTTTGCAAAAGAAGAAAATCTGCCATGCTGCCTCTGAGATCCCGGTTGGATATTTCTGTTGATGTGTCTTTTAGTTGGGGCAGGAGGAGGGGTGGTAAGTGAATAGGAAGGGCTCATTCAGAGTTCTAGATTATTGTTTTATTGAATTTAGTCAGTAAGAACTCATGGATTTGTCATATATTTCCACTAAGTTCCTAGTCAGGAATATACAGTGGGGCAAAAAAAAATTTAGTCAGACACCAATTGTGCAAGTTCTCCCACTTAAAAAGATGAGAGAGGCCTGTAATTTTCATCATAGGTATACCTCAACTATGAGAGACAAAATGAGAAAAAAAATCCAGAAAATCACATTGTCTGATTTTTAAAGAATTTATTTGCAAATCATGGTGGAAAATAAGTATTTGGTCAACGTTTGACCTCTGTCATTGCCAACAAAGGATATATAACAAAGTATTACGTTTGACCTCTGTCATTGCCAACAAAGGATATATAACAAAGTATTACGTTTGACCTCTGTCATTGCCAACAAAGGATATATAACAAAGTATTACGTTTGACCTCTGTCATTGCCAACAAAGGATATATAACAAAGTATTACGTTTGACCTCTGTCATTGCCAACAAAGGATATATAACAAAGTATTACGTTTGACCTCTGTCATTGCCAACAAAGGATATATAACAAAGTATTACGTTTGACCTCTGTCATTGCCAACAAAGGATATATAACAAAGTATTACGTTTGACCTCTGTCATTGCCAACAAAGGATATATAACAAAGTATTACGTTTGACCTCTGTCATTGCCAACAAAGGATATATAACAAAGTATTGTCTCTCATAGTTGAGGTATACCTATGATGAAAATTACAGGCCTCTCTCATCTTTTTAAGTGGGAGAACTTGCATAATTGGTGACTGACTAAATACTTTTTTGCCCCACTGTATCATGTATCTGGATTTTCTAATATGTGAAATTCACATCCAGAGTGAAAATGTTTTTTCAGCAGCAACTGCAATGTGAATTGCTTGGGATGGGATTACTGAGTTCAGTAGCTCAGTGGTAGAGACATGCTCAGCAAGCCAAAGTTCTGACTTAGTATTACTAGTTTAAAGGATTGAGTGTTAGAAGAAATCGATTAAAAAAAAAAATTATTTCCCATGTTAGCATTTCATTGTATTTTATTCCTAGTTTTATTTTATATATTTCATTGTATTATTTCATTGTATTTTATTCCTCCACCCTAACCATGGAGCTCATGGTTTATAAATGAATAAGCTCACCCTTGTATAATGGTGCAATTTGATTCAGGCACATGAGGAGCAGAGGAAAGGTTAACTGAGGGCATGTCAAGCTCTGGTAAGGCAACCAGCTGGAATGTTTTATCTTTGCCTTCAATATGTGTAATGCACTTTCATCTTTGCAGAATCCAGTAAAGATGGATCCATGACAAAACCAACCAACAAGCGGCCGCTTTCATCTTCTGATCTGTGAGTATTGATTGCTGGAGCAAACAGTTATTTCAGCCTTCATGTTTCCTTTGTGGAGTAACAGAGGGTTATGGAAGGAAGCCTGTATGCCCAGTCATTACTGCCTTTTTCTGAGTTGGCCCTAATTTCTCTGGGAAGTGAATAAACCCAAACTCTCTCAGGACGTGGGATTGCTCCTTTTATTCTCCAAAACATCTCTCTTTTTGGAACTCTTCTGCATAAGCAGATCTGTGAGATTTATTATTCTAGAGAAATTGTATATCTTTCTGCATCTGATCCAAGCCAGTATTATCACCAACCAAGTAAGATCTGGCTCATGGGGATAATGCACCAGACGATTGTGCATTATGAGTCTTATTGGCTGTTTCAGTATGGATTTTGCCTGCTTTGGGAGAAAAGATGCCTCAAGGATTTTCCTTTACATTCATCAGAATATCTTGGGTCAGGCTTAGATTGGGTGAAGGGCTAAATTACTAGTTCTCTGTGCAGGGACAGAGGAGCAGGGGGACCTCTACCAAGAATGCAAATTTCTCCTATAAGCAGCCTGCAGGTCAGTGAATCAAGGATGCTGCAGCAAATTATCTACACTAAGAGGTCTCCCCCCCTCAAAAGGAAGATTCCTAAAGCTACAGCTGTGGAACTGCCTGAAGCTGAGAGCCAGTTTGGTTAAGGTGCTAGCCTAGAAACCAGAAGACTATGAGTTCTAGGCCTCCCTTAGGCATAAAAGCTGGTTGGGTGACTTTGGGCTAGTCACCCTCTTTCAGCCCAGCCCACCTCACAGGATCATTGCTGTGGGGAAAATAGGAGGCAGGAGTATTAGGTATGTTCACCATTTTGAGTTATATATAAAAATGGTGGGATGATGATGATGATGATGATGATGATGATGATGATGATGATGATGATTGCTAGAACTGATGGGAGTGGACAGTTCCAGGGAATAAAAATGTGGATGTGCTCAGTATTCTGGGCAAGAAGAGCATCACATTCCTAGTCCAGCAGGAAGTTGGACCTTACTATTCTTTTTCATCTTTCAGGAAAACTGCTCCAAAGAAGCCCAAAGCAGATGGGCAGTGAAGGGAGTCCCCAGCCATCCCCTCTTCCTGCCTGCTCCACAACCTCTGCCTGAACTCCCCCAGCCAGTCAGCCACCCCGTGTATGGAGGAAGATGGAACCGCCGAAAGCACATTTCATACACCGTGGGGCTGAACTGTTGGGGTGG